TTGCTGTCCCTTTCTTCCAGTGAGGTGTCCTGTACTATGTACATCACGTTCACGGGAGTGATGTTAGGAGCCTGGGTATCCTAGGAGATGTTATGGAGTCACTTGTCCCCCAATTCCATTTTTATTTCCACCCTTTTAAACAAGACAAGGCAGGTCAACGGGAGGAGTTGTGAATACCTCCCTGGACTGCCATCCCTGGACTGCCCTGATTGTGTAATCAGGGCCATCTTCTGTGTCATGGGAGTCTCAGGGGGCAAATCTCAGCTTCCATCTGGACAAGGGAAGAGTCTGAACCTGCTCTTGTCATATCTCATGTGAATGCACTGCACCCTGTGAGGCTGCTGCTCCCAGGAGAAGGGCATCTTACCTGTACGTGTGCAGGGAACCGCCTTCCCTGGTCTGTGCTCGTTTGAGGTGCTCCACGCCAAGCTCAGAACTTACCAGATGGAGACCCAGAATTCAGGGTGGTTTATGAGTGCCGTGGTGAGAGGGTGTTTGATACCAAAGTGTTTTTTTGCCACCAGAATTGGTTGTTTACCAGGAGTGTCGTTGTACGGGTTCCTCAGCAGTGATGTGGGGAAGGTTTAAGGTTGGGTGGGCGCTAACAAGAGCTTATAAAATGATGAGGGCAAGTGGGCAAAGAGATGAGGTTCTGAGCAAGCTGGTCCAGTTGATCTCCTGCTCACTGCAGGGGGGTTGCACTTGATGACCTTTAAAGGTTCTTCCCAACTCAAAAAATTCCATCGCTCTGTGAGGCATCAGAGTGACCTCGTACCCTTAATAAATGAAACACAAAGGCTCTGATTTGGAACCTTCTGAGTGTTTTTTTGGGGATGTGTTTGTAGTGAAAGAGAAGCTGTGCAATTGAAACCTGTTTCAAAAACCGATTTCCTCAGCAAGTAGAACAGCAGTGCTATTCCAAAAGGCATCTCCAGAATCAATATTTGGCTGCCTTGAGACTGTGGCCTATTCCCATTTCATCAGCTCCGGAGTGGCCAGGACAAGTCAGGTGTTTCCAAATTAAGTTTGCTAAGGGACATTACTAGGAAACAGCATCAGCAGCTTCCTTCTCCAAGTGGGGCAGTACAAAAGCTTGCACAAGCTGCTTGGGCAGGGTTGGCACATTGCTCTGGAGCAATCGGTGACGTGTTTCCCCATCTGCCAAACCCCTGTGATGTGTGAGATATCCCTGGGACCACAAACACAAATACCTCGCATGGTTCTAGACCCATGGGATGGTCATTGCTCGCGGGTCATACCTGGGACTGGGAGAAATGTGCTGTTGAAATCTGGAATATTGAAGGTGGAAAAGTCTCAGCTTGATTTGCAAGAACATTTCCAAATGTTATTTCAGTGTTTTTTACAAAGGGAAACAGGCAGAGCTCTTGTAGCCTTGTTCAAAGTCCATATCATCTTCTAATAAAAGAAAATTTTGTAATGGACATCTGCCTGGAGTAGGGATGTGATGGAAGTGGGAAAAGGAATTGTTTCCTCTTGTGTGCAAAGGAGGAGTGTCTCAGTGGCTACATCAAGAAACACTGATATGGAAAAGTGACTCCAGGAAGGGATGTACTGCTTTCTTAGAGACACAAAAATGTGATTATTAGTAGCAGTGTCTCCATGGGACTCCATAAAGAATGGCAGCAAACCATGCCCTGTTCTTGTACCAAAGGTTGCCCTCAGCTACTCATGAGGATGGGATTGCAGTTTACTATAATCACAGTGGTGCCAAGGAGCACATTGGCAAAGGATGGATGTTTGACCTTTAAAAAAACCTTTAGTTTCATGTAATGTGATTTAGCAGCTACAAATAAGAGAGAGAAGCCGGCATCAAATATCCAGTGGCTTTTGAACCTCTGTAATAGAGTGTTCCTGATCTGATGCTGCTGCATGCTGGTGCACACAGACAGGCAGCTACAGGCTCTCAAGTTGACTTGGCCTCTTTCTTCATTTTCGTTGCTTCAGATGGGGGTGTTTGTTTTGCTAATTGCCTGCCCCAGCAACACAGTCCCATGCTGAAACAGGATCATGCTGCAGCTTGTTTTGCTTTACAGCACCTGCAGTGTAAATGGGTGGACTTCCTTTGGAGAGAAGCATGGAGTCTCCGTAAGGCAAGTACCTAAATGTTAAGTCAGGGCTGGTGTATCTGTACAACCCACAGAGGGGTGCCTTTATCAACCATAAGGCCACGTCTACATTTGTCCTTCAGCCCACTCTGTTTCAGTCTGTGTCTCTACCATAACCAGGGAGCTGAGTATGTGAAGTACCCATCACTTAGTTTAGGCAGCAATGTGGTCACAGCAGTGCTTTATTCCCCAGCACACCATTGTAAATGACCCTCCAGCGGGCTGACTCCTGTTGTGGTGCCTCCCTCTTTATTGGGGAGTGAACTTGGAGATCTGACCAGCCTTTGAGCTGGCATGTAATGCGTGGGGATGTGCTGGGAGAAAGGTCAGGGCCAGGCATGGTCCCTCCTGTGTCACTGGTTGTCCCTGCTGATCCTCATATCTGGATTCCCCAATTCAGGAACCCCAATAGTGTCTCTGCAAAGTCAAATATTTTTAGGGGTACTGATGTAAGCCACAGAGGCAGCTTTAATAGTGTTTTCTGGTCTCCTCTTGGGAGCTGGTTGCTCTCCAACACTGGATATTTTATCTCCTGTTTATTGCAGGGTACCTGAAACAAGATTCTAAAATCTTGTCTTACAATCGTCAGTCAACAGCCCCCAACTCTTTCTCATTGGCCAGAAGTGTCCCCAGCTGGATGCCCCAGGAATGCAGCCCATCCTGCTCAGACAACATGGCCATGTTCTTGCAGGTACATGAGGATGTACCTCACACTGCAGAGACACAGCTTCTACCTCAGGGAGGGTAGGGGAGAGCTCTGAGGAGCTTGAAGGTCACAAAGTAGGGTGGGGAAGGTGGCCTGAGTAGTGAGGAGGGATTTAGGCAGTACTTGTTCCCTTTGCTTAGTGCTCCCTTTGCTATGCCACTTTGGGAAATTGAGCCTTTCTTGTTTGTTGTGGGGCTTTCCCCCTTCAAGTAGAGATCTTCACCTTCCCTCAGCCCTCCGCCCCCACCTTAGTTCTCAACCCGGCCCAGGTAAGAGGTTGAGCCTCTGTTTGTCCTCTTCATCCCTGCAGATCAGAACAGGATGCTGAATAGCCTTTGGCACAGAAACCTCTTCTTACTGGAGACCTAGTTCTATCTCAGTGATGTCTGAGATCAGTTTGCACATCTTTAGCCTACTCAGCCCTCTACGGAGCATCTCCTCTGTCCAAAGGCAGAGATGGGATTGGTGTATGTGCTGTTCTGTATTTGCCTTTACCTTCGGATGAAAGGCAAATACTGATCATGTTCCCTCCTTGTATTCATCATCTGATTTATATTTAATTTGTTTCTATTGCCCCGAACAGACATAAAATAATGTGGCAGTTTGAGCATTAATACTCTTAGTATTAATAATAGGAGTTTGTACTAATAGAGCTCCTTCCGTCTGTGGACTGCAAATTATGGACAAGCACCATTAGTCCCATTTAGAGGTGGATTTAGCTGGTGCAACTTATCCAAATCCAGATGTGGCTGCAAGAATCAGGAAGAAAATGCAAAGGCTCCTGGTTTCAACCCGAGCCCCAGCTCAGCCGATCTGCTACAGCCATTTCAGGGGGAAAAAATAACCGTTCAAAAGGCAAGATGTGAGGCATGCTCAGGAAGAAATTGAGCCTCATCTCTGGAGATTGCTGAATTTCACAAGGTTTTCCCAAAGCAGCAAAAGGAACAATGTCCCGAGCTTTGGCCTCTATACTTATCAGCATGAAAAAACCATGAGCGTGAAATCAAACAACAGGCTTCAAATGGGAGCTACAATGACTCTAATTTGTATGTACCATTATTTGATCTTCTAACCTACTAGGTTTAAGGTAAACCACACTGGAATATCAAGCAGACATTAAATGAAACAGTGTCATTAATTCAATCCAATGAGATACGTTTTATATAACAAAGGGATTTGTTCTGATACTCAAACAATGTATATTAATGAAAGAGTCGAAATAGATTCATTTTGTTCTCAAAGCAAACACATTAAGGGAAGCCATCAAGAAGTAAAGAACACGGCTTTTTTTTTTTTTTTTTTTTTTAAACTGTGCTTTATTTAGGGCTAAGCTGGAAAGCGTCATTCAATAATTACAGAAGATTACAAGGAGTTTTAGGGAATTGAGAGTGAAAGAGCAGTTGTATGGAACTGCAGCTGCGTTACACATCTGTACTTCCTAGCTGTGGGCTCAGTTTGCTTCAGTCCTTACTCTGGCAAAATGCTCGTTATATCCCCATGAGAGTTTTGGAAGAGTAAGGACTGCACGGTTCGGCCCAATATATAATCAAAATTAACCTTAAAAAAAAAAAACAAAAACAAAAACAAAAACAAAAAAAAAAAAAAAAGGAAAAAGAAAAAAAAAGAAAAAAGTTCAAGATCGAGATAAAAAATACAAAGAGAAAGAAACAAGAATATTAAACAAGAGTAAAACCAAATAAATAATCAAAAAACAATTATCACACTGCTCAATCGATGCAAACAAGTGTGAGAATGATGTAAATCAAGTTTTAAGACTGTGAAAATAAATTATAATAAATATGATATACTTTAAAATATATGTGTTCTTAAATAATTCATTGTTTTTTCTGAGTCAGATTTTTTAAAGCAATGTCTTATTTTTAACTGCTCTAAAGTCATTTACCAAAGATAAATATCGTGCTTTCATTAAATAGTTTTCCTTGTTTTTTCTCTATCATTACAATTAAAAGTCCTACAAAATATGCAAATTTATTTACAGAAAACAGAGCCAGCATCTTTTTTTTTTTTAAACATCCCCCTGTTTTTCAAAATTCCTTGTAAACAGTTTCAGAAATTCTTCAAAGAGATTGTTTCTTTAGTTTATTTTTATGTTTTTTTTTTTTTAAGCTTTTTTAAAGATTTTTTGGTTTTTTTTTTCTTTTTTTTTGTTTTTTAAGATTAAGGTACTAGGCTAATCCCTTGCCCTGAAGGTTTCTAGAGCAAATATGGAAGCTACTGAAGCATAGGATGATGGGAATTTTGCGGACAGCAGATCATGAAGACATGAAGCGTTTAGCTGTGTTTTGTTGTTCAAGATAGAACTAACGTCTGATAAAAAGACAGCTGTTTTTTTTTTCCCATTTGCATTGTCTACAGAATTGAGTCTTGTCTTGTTTATTTTTTAATAGCTGGAATGCTTGCAGTTAAAAAAGCTGCCAAAATAGCCATTTTTCTCCTTTTTTTCCTCGATAAATAACAGCATCCAACAGCAATTGGCAGAGAGTAGGAATTTATGCTCAATCTAAACTCTACAAAAATTACAGTTCTACAACATCTTTGTTTTTAGCATTAACGCTAACTTCTATGTAGTATTATTTTTTTTTTGCTTTTTTTTGTTTTTTTTTTTTTATTTTTATGTTGTCTAATTTTTTCTATTATATAGGTATTTTAAACTTTCTTTTTTTAAATTCTGTACAACTATTAGGATTTTAAATGGGGAGAGTTAGAAGCATTTACAAACCTTTTTGTTTTCCATTTAATATCAACCATCTTTCCTTTCTCTTTTTCTATGCCTTTTTATGTACTTATTTATGTATTTATTTATTTACTTTTTTTTTGCTTTTCATAGATATCCATCTTACCTGCCTTTAACAACGCAATCCTTGCGTATTATACAGAAAACCATATGAAAGCTTCATAGACTCTAATTAATGTATAACCAAAGAACCTCCCAAAGTATCAAAGAACTATTATCTTGCCGTTTTAAAAGCATTTAAGCATTTGATTTTTTTTTTTTTTTAATTTTACATATTTCATATAATCGCTCTCAAAAACTGTTTTAGGAACAGCTCAGAGAAAAGGAAAGAACTTCCATATTTTACATACAGCTACAAGTCTGCGGTAAAAAGTTTTGTCCTTTGGTCCCTATATAGCTAAGGAATGACAGATAAAGATGCTCAGTGACTGTTACCACGGGTTCTCGCATGGTAACCGCATCCTTGGTGGCAAACAGGCACTCCTTTGCCAGAATCCAGGTTTGCATCTCCTGTTTGAAGAAAAGCCGCTGTGGTGATATCAGTGTCTCTTCAGAAATCCCGGTTGAATCTTCCTCCTGTTCTGATTTTACTTATGTGTTTGTTTGTTTTCAAGCGCATGTCCTTCGAAGTCAGCAGATGTGATACTTTTCTTGAAGAAATGTTACAGTCTAAACAATCAAAGAGAGAATAGGTCTGAAGTCTTCAGCTTGACTGATATTTGCTGATATGTCAAAGGTGTAATCCAACAGTTCACGATTTTTTTTTTTTAATATATATATACTTTTTTTTTTTTTTTCCTAAATGTGGCCCATTCAGCTGCTGCCCTAAAAAATGAAGAAGATCATTGCAAATTAAATCAAAAAGGGGAGGGGGAAGTAGGGAAGGTGTGGGGGAAATATTTGAGACGGGGGGGGAAAAAAGACCTAAAAATGAAAATGAAATTAAAATCAAGCCTGTTCTTTTGGGCCCAATCCTGCTCCTGTTGAAAGTATAATGGGTGTTTTCTTCTCCCTTCAATTGGGACAGGATGGGGCTTCTGCTTTGGTGTTTTGATTTTGGAGGCATTGGCTCTGATTCTGCTCCCACTTAGCATCAACAGAAAGATTCCCCTTGACTTCAGTGGGAACCGGATCAAACCCAAAGTGAGCAAGGTAGTCACGATCATGATAAAGAAAAACACAATTGTTCCTAATAGCAGTAATAATAAATCAAAATAATATTAGGACATGTCTATGTAAATCTGTATCACTACGTATGTGCAGATAGCGGCATTTTAGTTATTTTTAAGTGCCACTTTACAATGCCAGATCACAATCTTGCTTGGCAGGCTTTTGAGTGTGAAAGGCATCAAGAAAGTGTAGTTCTATATTTTAATGGGGTGCCATCTATGACAGTGTATGAGCTTTCTGTGGAGACGTAGCTGCCAATAACATCTACTCCTTTGTGAATGTCAGAAAGTAGGACTTTGAACAGGCAATTTATAGGAGGTTAAATAAAAAAGGCTGTTGGAATAAACTTATTTTTGAAAAAAAAAATGTAAAGCTAACATTTCTTAAATAAAAAAAAATTATTTAAAAAAAATAATCATGATCCGACTAGGCTTGACATTTAAGTAGGATGCTTAATCATTAAGGATTAGCTCTTATCTCCTTCTAGCAAGCAGGTTCTTCTTATACACTCGGTGATTTATTACATCAAGAAACTTAGAAACTGCAAAAGGTCCACTCTGGTGGAAAAGTGTCATGCGGAATATCAATCCATGCTGGCAGGTTTTCACACTGTTGGTTCAACAAACAGCAAACCGTACACAGCAGTCTAAACAATTACAACACCAAAAATAATAATATAATAAAAAAATAAAAAACACTCGTCAAGGACCCTTTTTCAGTTGTAAACAAAAAGATGCATTTTGCTTTTTGATCTGGATGGGGTTTTTTCCCACTCAATCCCTCCCTCCCTCTAAGCAAATAATTTTTGCTGGAGTTGCTGCAATACGGCACCTTAGAATTAGGAATTCTTGAAAAGACATACAATGAGGCTTTTCTTGGGGTTGCTTTTTTTTGATTGCTATAGTTTTCAAACTACTGTTACTATCATTACTCTTTTTGGTTTTGGTTTGGTTTGGTTTTGGTTTTGGTTTTGTTATTTTTTTTTTAATTTTTAGAAGGTGATTTGAAATATCCTAAGGGGGAAAAAAAAGGTGTCAATTGAAAAAGGCCCCAATTCTCCGGAAAAAAAAAATAATCACAAGATTTCCAGTGCAAAAAATTAACCACACATTTTTTCTCTCTATTTTTTTCCAAATTATCTGTAGTTATAACAATCCCATTTTTTTTTCTAAAGAATTAGGAATCCATCTTTTTTTTTTCCTTCTATGTGACATCTAAAGAAGCATAAAACGCTGACGAGAAATCAAACGACAAATAAAGAAACCACTGCAAGCACCAAAAACGAAACGAAAATGAGCACAGCAAAAAATTGTGGCAGCACAAAGTCAAAAAAGGCACATGTGATCATGACTGGCCAATCATCAACTGATACAACATCCAAGAAAAATGCTTCAATCACGGCACCTGCACGAAACTTGACGGCATGTCATGCAACCAATTCTTAGCTTGTTACATGACGCCATCATGTCACACTTTCAACTTCGAGTTGATTTGAACTTACGGCCTGGGGGACTGTATTCTCCACTTTCATGTCATTACGAGAACTTTTTTCCTAGCTCAGCGCGAGACTGTGGTGGATTTGACTGGCTCTTGGTTGGAATTTGATTGAATGACAAAAGAAGAAAAGATTTTTTATATATATATATTTATATATAGTGTGGAAAAAGGGAAAGGTGGGGAAAGAAGATATATATAAAAATAATAATTAAAAAAAATGTTACAAACACAGCATCAATTAAAAAAATTCCAATGGAAATACTTGCCATTAAACTATAGAAAATGAAACAAGAATGAGAGCAAAACAAACTAACCGAACGGAAAGAAAAGAAAGGAAGAAGAAAGGAATTAAAAAAAAAATGAAAAAAAAAAAAAAAAAAGGAAGGAGGAGGAAAAAAAAAAAAAAAAAAAAGGATGGAGGAGGCCTAGCCAGAGACACACACACATAAAACACACACTTAAATGTAGACACACGGTCAACAGCGAACAGGAACAGAGCGTTATGCAGCGGCTGTTGAGGAGAGCATGCACTGAATGGGTGAGCGCAGACACAGATCGGTTTGCGAAGTCTGGAAAATAAACACATTCACTGCCAACCAGAATGCTTTCGTTAGCACCGGCCTCTCCCACACCACCCCCAGCATCCTGGATGCTTTGCTGGATGGCTAGCCAAAGTCCTCCAGGAGCCTTCCCGTAGCCTCGGATGGGCTCCGGAGCAGGTACCGCTCTAATCTGGTTACATTCAAAGTTTGAAGTCGTGGGGGGTGTAATAGGCCAAGAGCTGCTTTGGCTACTGAGAATATTAAAAAAAAATAAAAAATAAAAAAAAAAGCAGCTACTGCTGGTTGCTATATGTCCATTTATCAGTTCACAGGACGGTGGACTCCGAAACAGCAGTGCTGGTATGGTGTGGGAAGCAGACTTGTAGGAGGACTTGGATGATACGATGGTCCCTAAATCAGCATCATTAAAAGAAGGACATTTACTCCTTTGGCATTTAGCTTTGGCCTGAATTTAAAAGATAATGGAAAATAAAAGGGATAAGAGAAAGGGAGGAGAGAGGAGAGGGTCGGAGAGGAGAGGGTCGGAGAGGAGAGGGTCGGAGAGGAGAGGTTTGGAGAGGTTCGGAGAAGAGAAGAGAAGAGAAGAGAAGAGAAGAGAAGAGAAGAGAAGAGAAGAGAAGAGAAGAGAAGAGAAGAGAAGAGAAGAGAAGAGAAGAGAAGAGAAGAGAAGAGAAGAGAAGAGAAGAGAAGAGAAGAGAAGAGAAGAGAAGAGAAGAGAAGAGAAGAGAAGAGAAGAGAAGAGAAGAGAAGAGAAGAGAAGAGAAGAGAAGAGAAGAGAAGAAGGGCATAAAGGAGAAAAGAAACAAAAAGAAAAAGAAAAAAAAAGAAAAAGAAAAAAAAAGAAGAAAAAAACCTGCCAGAGGCTGGTTGCTACAATCTGTAGAAACACCCTGTTCCTTCCCTACAAGCAAAAATGTCCCTTTACTGGCCCACAGAATTTTGCCTCAGTAAACACTAAAAATCACTGTACGCTTGTCTCAGTCAGCAGCTCTGCACCCTGTTCCTCAGGTATAGCCTTTCTGTCCCCTTGGCAGGACTCATATCTCTCCTCCCAGCCTATTTCTGAAAAGTCACTGCACACGACTGAAATTTCACCTTGTTTTGGGGTGTCACAAGAATACTGTTGGCAGTTCTGATCCTGAAGTCATGCATGCTGACTAGAGAAAATTTTTTGGCTTTTTGTTTGTTTGTTTGTTTGGGATATCTTCACTGTTTCTGTGAACTGAAACATGCTTTCTGGCTGCAGCAGCTATGCTCAGCTGATAAGAGGCGATGCTGAACTAAGCCTCTGATCCGAGCACTGACTTCAGCTCCACACTTTTCCCACAGTTGGTTGCTGTCTTGGTTAAAGCTGACTCCTCCTTGATGGCTTGGCCCCAAAGTCCTGCCCTTCAATGGTCTGGAAGTGTCAACCTGAGCTTCCTGGGGTTTGAGCGAAGACAGTAGGCTGGTACTCCCAAGGCAGATGCAAGATCTATGTCTGCAGTTATTTCACAAGCCAACAGAGAGAAAACTATCTTTTTCAAGAAGGCCCAGGTTAGAATTGTCATCTGTGTCCCCAGGTACTTAAGAACAAGTAGTGTCAGCTATGCAGCTTCTGGCTGTGCATGAGGAAGAGGAACAGGCTTCTAGGATCTCTCTTACCCCTCTGGGCTTTCTGGCCATGTCATAACACAGGAAAACAAGCAGCTGGGACAGGAAGGACATCTGTCAGCACCACAGCAAGACCTATCTCTTTCCTTACCTCAGCTGTGCCAGCAGGAAAAGAAAGGGTTAACAGGCTTTGCTTCCCTGAATAGACCAAGGAGGCAACAGGAATGGGAGACATCTGTTGGAACAAACACCATCCTGCTCTATTCCTGGAAGTAGCAACAACATGCATCTCCTGTCTGGGGTTGGAGTATGGGATAACACCGTCTGCCAGGTCAGGGGTAGGAGCTCAGTGGACAATGGGTTTACACGTGGATGCTAGACCCAGGCAACTCTCAAGCTGAGAAGAGGTTCTTTGGCATAACCTTACTGGGGAAAACATTTTATGTGCACAATGGGAAGGACCAGGCTGGTCTGTCAGTGACCACTGCTTTGCAGGTGATACTACCATCCCTCTGACTGTCCTCCACAGACATCCTCAGACACTGGATGAAACACACACACACACACACACACATATATGTACAAATGAAGGATTAGGACTTGCTGAGGCTAAAAGAACAACAAAAAACACTTGAAAATGTTCTTTCAAACAAAAGTTACATGTGGTCATCCTCTCTGCCTAACTTGGGTCTGTATTTCAAGCACCAAATGAAAGCTGTCCTTCTAAAGCAGGGGTCTACAGCATCTACCCTGTCAGTGAAAGGGAGAAGACCCTTTGGCAGTCTCCAGGGACGTGTCCAAGAACTTGTTCCACTGAGCAAACTATAACCAAATAAATCTGGCAAATGCCCAGCTTCTTCTTTGAAGCACAGAAGTGGGGCCTGAGACTGTTCTTGAACATTGGATAGACATAATGGCTTGAAGTTTTAAAGATGGGATTCAAGATGAAGACACCTCCATCTAAGTAGATCACTCTAAGCCAGTATTAGTGGAGACACAGAGGGACGGTAGGAACCAATTCATTTATCCTCAGGGACTGTTCCAGATAAGACTGTGAGTCATGGCCACAAAGAGCTGGTATCTCTCATATTACAATGAGGACCTTGACTGACTAACTGTGAAGGAGACAGCTATGGTGTAGGTCTATACCATCAGGGGAAATGAATCTCAGTTAAAGCCTTGGTTAGACAAACATAAATCTAGTCATGTCCTTGTAACCTGTGCTGTCAGCAAAGTAGTCCTAATGCTATGAACATCTCTGTTGCGGGGAAGCTTTTGACAGCAGCTTCTGATTGGACTGTAAGGATAAGCTCTGGATTGTAGGACAGATTCAGTGCCCGTGTACTGAGGTACTGGGTACTGAGAGAGCTGGTGTAGGTTCTCATAAAGCAGCTCTCCATCATTTATCAGCAGTCCTGGGTAACTGGGGAAGTTCCAGTTGATTTAGGTTAGCCAGTGTGATGCCCATGCACAAGAAGGGCCAGAATGAAGGAGGATCCAGGGGACTACAGGTCTGTCAGTCTGACCTCGATGCTGGGGACGGTCATGAAGAGATCATTCTGAGTGCCATCACACAGCATGCACAGGAGAACCAGGGGATCAGGCCCAGCCAGCAGGGGTTTAGGAAAGGCAAGTCCTGCTTCACCAACCTGATCTCCTTCTATGACAAGGTGACCTGCTCAGTGAATGAGGGAAAGGCTGTGGATGTTGACTTCCTGGACTTCAGTAAAGCCTTTGACACAGCATTCTCCTGGAGAAACTAGCTCCTTATGGCTTGGATGGATGCTCTGTTCCCTGGCTAAAAAACTGGCTGATGGGTGAGGCCAGAGAGTGCTGGTGCATGGAATTATATTCAGCTGGGGCCAGTCACTAGTGGTGTTCCCCAGGACTCAGTACTGGGGCCAGTGGGAGGCTGAGGGGAAACCTTATTGCTGTCTGCATGAAAGGGTGTTGAAGACAGGTGGCAGTCTCTTTTCCCAGGTAACAAGAGACAGAACAAGAGCCAACAGCCTCAAATTGCATTAGGGGTGGCTTAGATTGGATATTAGAAAAAATTCCTTCACCAAAAGGATTGTCAAGCACTGGAACTGGATGCCCAGGGATGTGGTGGTGTCACCAGCTCTGGAGGTATTTAAAAGTTGTGTAGATGCAGTGCTTAGATCCACAGTTTAGTGGTGGACTTGTCAGTGCTGGGTTAATGGCTGGACTCAGTGTTCTTAGGGTTTTTTTACCACCTAATATATGCTATGACTCTATGATGCCCTTGCAGCAGGTAGATGACCTAAGAGGTGTGCACAAGATGTTGCACAAGCCCAACAGAACCGAGACTGTATGGTGAATGCCACAGCACAGGAGCTGTCACTATATATCTGCTAAGCTTGCAAATGCAGCCAGCTTTAGGAGCAAGCTTGCTGTGTGCCTTCACAGGACCACACAAACCGTCCAGCACTGCCACCATCATGGTGGGCTACCAAGTTGAAATTCTTCTTCCTCTGCAGAAATCTACTGCCTCCAATTCCTCGTCATTTCTGCCATGTCTCTCCCCTGAGTCGTTGTTACTCAAGTCTCCACTGATCATCTCTACCTCTTTATTCTTGTCTTGGAGGTGAGAAGCCTCTCCCTGAAGAAATCCAAAGGCCCTCACTTCTGCCGGCACCAAAGTGGCAGCCTCCTCTGCTCACACTTAAGCCTCTGATCATGGCATATGCAGACTTCTTCACCTTTATGCAATGCACATTATTCTCCATTTAGACACAGACACATGTGTGCCTCCATTCCACCCAAAATCACAGTCAGGATCCTGACCTTCTCTCTGCTGGATCCTGTGCCCAAGCACACCTACTGGAAGGAACTGGAGATGTTTTTTTCTACAGGTGGCAGATCTTCACAGCTATTGCCTCTGAAGCTAATCAATATTATTAAAATTCCAGCCCGTG